GCCATCTGTTCGAACCTGGTCAACGTTATTCATTTGCGGCATTATCCCCTGATACAAAATATAGGAACTTAATTTGTTGACAATGAAATATATTAATGGATGCCAAAGGATAAAAAGTTAAGGTAAGCTTTCAGATAGAAAAAATAATAATTTTTTTTTGAAATTGAGGTATAATTACCAGAAAGTCAAGATAGGAAGCACTTCAGCCAATAATCGGCAAGTTTAATTGAAAACCATACATGGTTTACACACCTTATCTTATAATAATAATAACCATATAAAATTACTTTAACAACAAATTTTCTCTAAAATTCTCAAATAAATACTCTTTGGGTTTTAAAAAAATCATCAATAAATACCCAGTGAACTTTAGAAAATCATTACTAAATACCCAATAAATTTAAAAAAAAAATCATCAATTAATATACAAGCATATATTAAGTACTGCAATATATTCAATTTTAATAGGATTTGATTTCTTATTAATTTTATTTATGCTTTCTAATTAATTGAATTGAACTTTTAATATCTTTCCAATTGTATAACATTAGGGGCTTTCCAATTATATAACATTAAGGCTACAAAATATTTTCTATTTATAAGAAAAAAATAGAGACAAGTGCAACCACTGGGAAGTGAAAAAGAAGAGGGAAAAAAAAGTAATACTATAGTTATAATACTATATAAAATTATAAATTTATAATTATAATATGATATTAAATGAGTATGATGTGACATTAATAAGTAGACATATACAATGTCACTGGTAGACTCTTGAATGAGAAAAACTAATTATGTAACAACATGTTATGTTATAAATTTACAATATTATATGATCTTATAACTATAATATTTTCAAAAAAGAAAAAAAAAAAAAGAAAACCTTAATGAAGACTTTGAAGACAATAGTTGAAAATAATTTCATTCATTAGATTTGCTTCTTACCTTCAAATAATTTTTTAGACATTTTTTATTTAAGTTTGACTAGATTTTATATTTGAATTAAAGTGCAATTCTCACCTTAACATTGAGGCTAAATGGTATATGTTGCTAATACTTAAGGAAGTTAGAAAAGTTTTCAACAATATAGCTCTGGTTGCTGAAAGTGAATTGTTCCTTGTTGCTGAAAGTGGAGCTCAATTAAATGGGGAAATGGTCATCGGAAAATATTAGCAAAATGGAGTATGTTGCTGAAATTTACTTTCAGCAACAAGGAATATATTGCTGAAAGTGGAGCAGCTTTTTAAGAGGGAGTGTCCTGCATAGTTTTTAGCAACATAGGACTTGTTGTTGATATATATTTTTAGCAACAAAGAATCTCATGTTGCTGATATATTGTTGCTAAAAGTCAAAATTTTAGTAGTGTACATTCACGTTATATTGACAAAGATTCATACACCTGAACCAAAGGAGATGAATACCATTAGATGGAGTCCTACAGGACCTGGGACAAACAATCTTAACCAGCAATTAATTCTTTCAAGGTAAAAGAAGGCGAAGGTCAAAAAAAGAAAAAAAGAAAGGTTATCTTTGGTTCTTACATCTCCAGCATGTTTGACTTATGGAATCTGTTGGTAATTCTTTTTTTTTTTTTGTTCTTATCAAGTATACTTCCAGTGCAACATATATGAAGCTAGAAACAAGCTAAGGATTGTACAATAGTTACAGTAGTATTGACAAGAGGTAACTGGCTAGAAAAGAGAATGAGGGAGAGAGAGAGAGGTCGAGAGAGTTTCAGGGTTGCAGGTATTGGACACCGGACTAGGACTAAGCAGAGAGTTCAACCGGCACAGAGGAAGAAGTCGACAAGGAGGGGTGGACAGGGCAGAACAGAGGGCGTGGTATGGGAAGCAAAGGGAATATATGGACAGGGGATATGATGTGGGAATGTTCAAGCAAGCAACTGCCTTCTTCTTCACCAACATTCCCAATGACTGGAGCTACTCTAAAATGTGGGCAGAATTTGCAAAATTTGGCAGAGTATTCGCAATATACAGCCCTTCAAGAAGAAGAAGAAATGGAAGAAGGTTTGACTTTATCAGATATCTCAATGTTAAGGATGAGAAGGAACTAGAGAGGAAACTTGATCAGATCCGAATCAGGGGCCACAAGATATGGGTTAACATAGCCAAGTATCCTACGGAGGAAGTTAAAGAAAGGGAGACAAGGAGAATCGTAACCACAAATATGGTTGCTGCAGGAAAATCATATGCAGATGTAGTAAAAGGAAAGTTGGGAAGGGCTCCACAAAAGGCAGAACATATACAAGCAGAGAAGAGGCCGAAGTTGGACACCCAGATAGCAAAGAGCAGAAGCAACAATACACCCAGCTAGTAAAACACTAGACAAACGTGGAAACTCAAAAGCAAACAAGAAGAATGGTCAGGAATTGAGTACAACGTCAAAGAAGAAGAATATGAGTGGCTGCATGGATGTTATGTGGGCATTGCTCACTCAGTGGAAATAGTGCCAAACCTTCAAGAAAAGTTTTATATGGAAGGTTATTTCTCCTGCAGACTCCAAGCAATGGGGGGCAAGATTATCTTAATGGAATGCGAGGAATTAAAAGAGCTAGTACAGGGCGCTGCAAGCTGGGTGGGTCAGTGGTTCTCAGAAGTTAAACCTTGGACACCTACAATGGTGGCAAATAAAAGATTTGTCTGGATGAGATGCCTAGGAGCACCAATTCATGCTTGAGGGCCAGATTTCTTTGAGAATATGGCTAATGCATGGGGCAAGTTTATATGTCTGGATGACAGTACAAGCAAGAGGAGGAGGTTCGACATAGCCAAATTCCTTATATCGACGTCGATAATGGATTTAATCTCGGTTAAGAGGCAGATCAAAGTTAATGGAGTCTTCTACAATCTGAAATTTACGAAAGAGGAAATGACTAATAGTCTATTCTCATTAAGGTATGATTTTATGCCAAATTTTAAGAGCGATTCTAGCTCTAAAGAGTCATGGTCGGAGGACAGCGATGATGATGAGGAGCTGGGAAGTAAATTCAGTGCAGAAAATAACGAAAATATTGACGGAGAAGAAGAAGATGTCAGAGGGAAATGGGAACAAGAGTTAAATGAGTTGGACAAACTGTCGACCAACACTTTGTCTGACAAAGCAAAATTTGAAATGAAGGGCATGGGTGAGTTTGAAATTGTGGCAGAGAGAGGTGGCGTGAATAAGTGGGGAAGATTTGACAGGATCACATACAACCAGCTGGGTGAGGAAGAATCAGTGGAGATGGTGGCAGACAGTATGGAGGGGCTTCTAGAAGCAAGTGACATGGGGAGTGGTGAAGAGGTGGGGCTTTGTAAATTGGACTCTAAGAGTAGGACAACAATGGACTCAATAGAGAACACGAAAAAATATGATTTGGGCCAAAGGCTAAAGCCCATATTGAAAGGCTTGGGTCCAATCCATGAAGAACATGAAGAAGGAGACAAGGATATGAGGGCCCCATTGGATTCAAAAAGCAGCACCCAAGTGGGAGAAAAGGGAGATTTGCTAGGAATATCAAGAAATGAGGAAAGAATGGACCACCAGCAAATTTGCAGTGAGATACAAGCAGAGACACCGAGCGAAGAAGCAATGGTGAATGAGAGGGTAAGCACCAGCGGAGAAATAGACAAAAAAAGAAGAAAAAGGAGAGCTGTGAGCTGTAGATCAATGTACCAAAGAGCAATAATGTTTGGATTAACGGGCCAACGAAGGAAGGGCCGAAGCAAATCTAAGAAGAAAGCAGAGAAAGAAGGGATTCCGAGCTTCCTTCCAAATATGAGTAATTCGGTGGGAGGGGGATCAGTGGGAGACAGTGGAATAAAGAACTACAACAGGATGCTGAATGAGCAAAGTAGCCAGCGGACAATAGCAAAACTATGGGAATTTGCAAAAAAAATTGGTGTGGATGCAGAGGATGAGGAAGACGCTATCAAGATCCTTGAAGAAATGGAGACCCGTGATAGAAAAGAAAAGGCAGAGGGCAGCTCAAAGGAAGAAAGAAAGAATAAGAAGGTTAGTGAAGCTGTACAATGAATATCTTATCCTTTAATATTAGAGGGATTAGAGGTGCTGGGAAGAAGAGGTATATTAGAGATCTAGTAGTAAAGGAGAAAGTGACTTTTTTAGCAATTCAAGAAACAAAATTAGCATGAGTGGATAAAAAAATTTGTAGAGCAGTGTGGGGGTCTGAAGATTTTGAGTGGGTAGCCAAGGATGCTTGTGGAATGTCGGGTGGCATGCTTTGTTTGTGGAACCCCAAAGTGCTTACCATGTCTAGAATAATAGAGGGAGAAAACTTTATAGGCATAGAAGGAATTTGGGGGAGAGAGGCGACCCCAGTGAGCATAATTAATGTATATTCCCCATGCCAGTTATCAGGGAAACGAACCTTATGGGAGGAATTGAAAAAACTGGTTTCAGGTAGAGGAGGTAATTGGTGTATTGCAGGTGATTTCAATGCAGTAAGAAAGACAAAGGAAAGAAATGGGAGTAGGGGTATAAGCAGTGAGATGAGAGAGTTTGACAGTTTTATAAGAGAAGCAGATTTGATTGATATCCCGTTAGTGGGTAGAAAATTTACGTGGTATCAGGCTAGTGGGCAGTATATGAGTAGAATAGATAGATTTCTACTTTCTGAAGGGTGGTTGTTCAAATGGGGTGATACCAAACAATGGGGTTTAAGAAGAACAGTATCAGATCACTGCCCAATCCTTCTCAAATTTCAGCAAGTAGACTGGGGTCCTAAACCATTTAGGTTCTTTGATGCTTAGTTAAAGATTGAAGGTTGTAGGGAGCTAATAAGAGAGGTATGGAGCAAAGTAGAAATCGAAGGATAGGCAGGGTACCGTCTCAAAGAAAAGATGAAGTTGACAAAGGAAGCGCTAAGGAAATGGAGTAGGGACTCAACCCTGGATATTGAGAGAAAGATAAGCAATGCTGCAGCAGAGATAGACTGGATTGATAGGAAGGGGGAACAAGAGCAACTGACGAAAGAAGAAATCAAGAAAAGAAGAGAGGCCACAATAACCTTATGGGAAAATATGAAGAGAAAGGAAAGTATGATCCAACAGAAATCAAGGAAGACATGGTTAGCTCACGGAGATGCAAATACAAAGTTCTTCCACAAGTGTGTAAAGGGGAGATGGAGAAGAAATGAGATGAGTAGCATACACATAAATGGAGTCCAGTTAAAGGAAGCTAGCAGAATGAAGGACGAGCTTGCTGGTTTCTTTGAGGAGATGTTTAAGGAAAAACAGAGGGTTAGGCCAAAGTTGGGTGGGGTGTGTTTCAAACAGATTTCACAAGAAGATAATGATTTCATAATTGGACCCTTCAGTGAAAGTGAGATCAAGGCAGCAATGTGGGAGTGTGATAGCTCGAAAGCGTCAGGCCCTGATGGGTTTAACTTCAGGTTTATCAAGTGTGAATGGGAGCTAATTAAAGATGATGTGATTAGATTCCTACAGGAATTCCACAAGAACAGCAAGATGGTGAGAGGACTCAACACATCCTTCATTGTACTGGTTCCCAAATCGAACAATCCGCAGAAGATAGAGGAGTATCGACCCATCTCTTTAATTGGAGTCATGTATAAAATCCTAGCCAAGTTGCTAGCCAACCGCTTAAAGAAGGTGCTGCACCAGGTAGTGGGAGAACAACAGACGGCATTTTTAAGTGGAAGACAATTGATGGACGGAGTTTTGATTGCTAATGAGGTGATCGACAAAGCAAAAAAGAAGAAGAGGAAAACAATTATGTTTAAGATCGACTTTGAAAAGGCCTACGATAAGGTTAGTTGGGAATTCCTGGAATATATGATGCAGAGGATGGGATTCTGTGACGAGTGGAGGAAGTGGATCGGAGAGTGCTTAAGAACAAGCCTTGTATCAGTTTTGGTCAATGGTAGCCCAACAAGGCAATTTAGTGTTTCAAAAGGTCTTAAACAAGGAGATCCCCTATCACCCTTCTTATTCCTAATCATTGCGGAAGGTTTAAATGGGCTGGTATCAAATGCAACTCAAAAAGGATTGTTGGAAGGAGTCGAAGTGGGAAGCAGAGGTCTGAAATTGTCACATCTTCAATTTGCAGACAACACAATCCTATTTGGAGAAGCTACTGAGAAAAATGTCCTAGCAATGAAAGGAATTCTAAGAGCATTTGAAATCGTCTCTGGACTTAAGGTCAGTTTTAACAAAAGCCAACTAATGGGAATCTGTGTACAAGAGGAATGGTTGGATAGAATGGCATGGCTGCTGTGCTGCAAAAAAGGAAGTATGCGGTTTAAGTATCTAGGAATCCCTATCGAGGGGAATCCGAGGAGAATAGCCTTATGGAAACCATTGTTGGAAACCTTCAACAAGAAGCTTCACACTTGGAAGGGTCGGTTTCTTTCTCTTTGTGGTTGGATAACTCTTATTAACTCAGTACTATCCAGCCTCCCCGTGTTTTGGATGTCACTATACCTAGTCCCGAGAGGTATGATTCTTTTAATTGATAAAATTTGTAGAAGATTTTTGTGGGGGGGTCTGAGGGAGGGAAGAGGGTTAATTTGGTTAATTGGGGGCAAGTCTATAAAGGAAAAGAGAGTGGTGGATTGGGGGTTAAGGACTTGAGGAAGTTTAATGTGGCGTTATTAGGAAAATGGTGGGGGAGACTAATGTCAGAAGGAAAAGGATTGTGGAAAACTGTCATTTGTGAGAAGTATGGAAGGGCAGGGGAATCGACCTATAACATGCTGAGGGGGGGAATACAATTTGGATCAACTTGGTGGAGGGATATTTGTAGAGTGACTTAGGTAGTTGGTGACAACAGGGGCTGGCTTACTAATGGACTGAAAATAAATGTAGGGGAAGGGGCAGGAGTAAGTTTTTGGTGGGATGAGTGGGGTGAGGGAGAGTGTCTTGCTAACAAGTTTCCAAGACTTTACACATTGTCTACAGGAAAGAACAACAACATCAATCAAATGGGAGGGTGGCAAAATGCATCATGGGTGTGGAAACTGACGTGGAGGAGAAGCTTGCACAGCTGGGAAATGCAACAAGAATCAAAACTTCAAAGGCTGATTCAAGAAATCAAAATAGAAAGAGGAAAACCGGATGTATGGAGGTGGATACATAGCTAGGACGAGAATTATTCAACATGTTCAGCCTACCAAAGACTTACGGGAGAACAAGGCAGCGAGCAGCAGAATTCAAAAATGCAGAAAATATGGAACACATCAATCCCCAGCAAAATCTCAGCATTCTCATGGCAAATGCTTCAGGATAAAATTTCAATAAAGGTAAACCTGTTAAAAAGAGGTATTATAAAAGAGATTGAGGAGTGTAAGTGTGACCTTTGTGGGATGACATATGAGGATACCAGCCACATCTTTATTCATTGTGAAGTATCTTATAAATTGTGGAATGCCTGTTATAAATGGTGGGGTATCAAGACAGTACTCGACAATGACTGCTAGAAGGTGTTTGAACAGCATGGCAACATGGTGAGAACAGAGAAGGAAAAGGAAGGATGGGAGTGCATATGGTTTGCCACAATATGGACAATATGGCTAACAAGAAACGAGAGGGTATTCAAAGGAAAGGAAATAGACAGAAGAAAAATGCTAGAGCTGGTGTAACTTCAGTCCTTCAACTGGTTGAAAGATAAAAGAGAAGGTTGCTTATTCTCACTATATGATTGGCTACAAGATCTGGCAAGCTATCTAAAGCTTAACTGTGTAGGCAGAAGGAAAAACAAAGAATATACAACCATAAGGTAGAAATAGGAGCAGATGGATAGGAGCAGATGGATAGGAGCCACCTCAGCATCAAGGAAAGGTGTGAGGAGGTTGAAGAATACAAGCATGTTGCAAACAGTTGGAAGGTACCAGAAATGCAAATAAGGAAACCTAGAGCCAAAAATATCAACAAGGGAGGTTATGGTATTCTGGAAGGATTGAGCAATGAAACCCGACACGGTCGTGGTATCGACACTTTATTACGGTGTCGACACTAAACGGAAGAACTAAGCCCCTAATCTCCAACACGGACATGGTGTCGACACCGAACGGAAGGGCTATTTGACTTCTAACTCTTGGCCTTTCAAACTGAGATGTTTACTGGTTTGGAGTATCCCTTGTACTCTGTATCAATAAATATTTTTTTTTTAAAAAAAAAAAAAAAATAGTAGTATTGACAAACTTCAAAACCTGTTTTCTACGGACGTAATATTCAAATAGTTTAAAGAGGAAAAAAGAAAAAAGAAAAAAGAAAAGATGTGCTGAATTATTTTTACATTTTAATTTTACTTTGCTTGAATTAGAAAATTTGTTAAATTGATTGTATTGATTGGCACAGCTTTTGTTGGTAAATTAATTAGGCTTACGGCTTTATATAATCTATACCATTTAGCTATTTCCTTTTATTATTTTGGTGATTCCTTCTCTTGGACAAAAATAGGCCTCTATGGCAAATTAATACAAAATTTTGAAAAAAAAAGAAAAAAGAAAATTGTCAGACTGGGTACAAAGGCACAGTTGAATGGGTTTATATAGGCACCTGGGTAGTGTTTGTATAAAAATATAAACTACAAAGAACGTTTAAAAAAAATAGAAAAGTTACTTATGAAGAATGAAATCACATTACCCTTTAACTCCGTGACAAACTAATTAATTTTTTTTAAAAAAAAGAGGGATGTCAGATGGGATGGGATACAGAGGCACGCGTTGAAATGGTTTATAACTTTATATGTGCGGTAGTGTTTGTATAAGTTATAAACTTTAAAGAATGAAAAAAAAAAATTATATATATATATAGAAAATTTAGTTATAAAGAATAAAATCAAATTACTCTTTGATTTCACCAAACACCATCCCTTACCAGCCTATTGAAGCACATTAAATCACAGAAATCAAACTGGCGATCCAATGAGTGAATTCTTATACTCAAAATTACTTAACAGTAACTGCAAACCACCAAAATCCAACGATAAAAATTCAAAGATTTAAGGCTTCTTTTGTTAGTGTGGGCTACCGTTGTAGCTTTTTTTTTTTTCTTTTTTTCTCTTTATCTTCTACCATCTCAAAAATATATAAAATATTAAGATATTGATTACTACATTTTCTAATTCAACATATGTATGGCAGACTTATTAAAAATCATTATTTTTTAATATGAAATTAAGAGTGACAAATTTAAAAATGTAACCATATATATAGCATGTAAGAATCGATTGAATTGGTTGTACTTATATTATATTTTAATAATTAAACTAGATGAGTGTTAAAATATATGTTGAACTAAAAAATGTACTAATTATTTTTCAAAATTTAATAAAATTAATAAAAGTATATAAAAATTAATCATAATTAATTAAAAATTAAAAATTTACATTTTTAGATTATGTGTCGTGTAAAAAAAAAATTTTGTCCAAAGCACTGACGGGCAAGTGTTAAACCAAAGATTGTTTGATGAAAACCCTAAATTATGAGAAAATAAGAGAGTAAATAAATCATTATAAAAGACGAAGATTGTTTTGCAGAATCAATCACGATATTACAGAGTGAAGATACATGGGAAATTAGTGTAAAATAAAGATATACAATGATAGATGGGAGTGTAGACCTAGCAAATAGGTCAGATTAGGTGGGTTCGAATTGAGTCATCTCGGATCTCGAATTGTTTGAATTGGGTCATTTCAGATGTCGAATTAAGGTGGTTGATCCATCACCCACTCACACGGATTTTAGATTGGATCGGGTGGACCCAACTTTTAAAAAATTAAAATTAAAATTTTTCTATAATTTTTTTTATTTTTCTTTAATAAAATCCGATACTAATTAATTATTTAGTTAAAAAACTTTATTACTAATTAACTATTTAGTTAGAAAACTTATTAAATGTTAATTTCGATTTCATAATTCAATTTTTTTTCCAATCTCAAGAAAAGAAAAAGAAAAGATTAGTGATTATATAAGTGGAACTAAAATATATGTCAAATATATAATACTTATATAATATTTAGAATTCATAATTTCATAAAAGTATTAACCTTCATTAAAAGAATAGATATGAAGGATTAGAGTTCAAAAGACAAATTTAATATATATATTAATATCTAGTGTTTATTTAATATTTATAAGAGTATTATACAAAAAATACAGCTCTATTCAATATTTACAAAGGCATTATACAAAAAAATATAGCCTTATTTAATATTAAAGTTTAAATGGCAAATCCAAAATATGTCTAACCGAATACAAGAAAAAATTGGATTGGAATTGATTTTTATTAATTAGAAACATATTATTAATTAAGAACAAATTAGTAGCTAAGAATGGACTTTGATGTTCTTGATATTCTTGTCTTTGTACTTCTAATGGTTATAAGGGTACCCTAACTATCAAGTTTTGATTTTCAGTAGGCATTCTTGTTTTTTATTTTTAAAAAATGATTTTTTTACGATATTATATAACATAACTCATTATGTGCCACCTAATTTAATTTTTTACGTGAGTGTCACCAAAGAGAAAGGTTAGAGAGCTTGAGATGAAGAAGGGGAGAGCGAGAGTGGAGAAGAGGAAAAGTTGAGAGAAAGTGAAATTGATGAGAGATTAAGATTTGAGTATTTTATTTATTTCTATTTCTATGATTAAAAAATTAAAAATTAAAAATTAATTTTTAAGTAATCTAATAAAAAATGAATAAAAAAATTCGGATCATTTTGGGTGACTCGACTCACCTGTGAAACAACCCATTTGGGTTCGGATAATTTTAGTCTAGGTCATTTCAAATTTCAGATTAACATATAGGACCTATGATCTTACCCATAACAGATCGATTGGGTCGGATTTTTGGATGGAGGCCAATTTTGCCTAAGGGAGTGCAAGGAGTGACTAACAAAGAAGATATAATGATAATATTGTTTATTAGTAAAAGATTCAGCATACGGGTTTCTAGCACAGACAATATTGTTCTCAGATTGTTTGCTTAGATATTTCTTTTCTTCTTCCCCTTCTTCTTTTTTTTTTTCCCCGATTTTCTTTCTCACAACATTACTGTATTCTTATCTGCAATTTTGTTTTGTTATTTTAGTCATCTGTTTTAATTAAAGATACTAATTGATATATATCTCGATTTAGTATATTATACAATATATTTATTAAAAAATTATTATTTTTAATTTAAAATTAAAAGTAGATATACTTAAAAATATAACAGTATATAAAAGATGTAGGATTAATAAGTTAAATTTATTGTAATTATATTATATTTTAATAATTGAATTGAAATAAATATAAAAAAAATATTGAATTGAGTGTGTACTAATAATTTTCCTTTAATTAAATGATAATTATTTGGTTGTAAATTGCAAGTACTTACATTTTAATTTCATACTCGTTTGCAATTTAATCAATGACAAAAGTTTTTCACCATATTATCTTCTATGTATATTCTAATATAAAAAGAGATAGACAGGAAAATAAATTTGATTAAAAATATATACTATAATGATAGAAAGATATATATAAGAAATCATTAAGAAAGAAAAAAAAAAGGGCAGGATAATAGATAAAGAATAATTAACAAAATAAATTAATAATCAAGAGAGATATATGAAGAGATATTTGAGGATAATATAGAGATTAAAGGTGAAATGCATGTAAAAAAGTAATGAAAATGTAAAGTAATGTAAAAACGGTGTAGCTTGATGCTAATAAACTTAGAGAATTGAAGGTGCTTAACAGAATGATATGGAGAGAAATATGATTTTAATGTAAGAAATTGAGAAAAAAAATTACTATGTGAATAGATAGGACGGAGGTAAGGAGGAAATGATAAAAGAGAGAAAAAGAATAATATAAAACAATATAAATAAAAAGAATAGACAGAGATGATTGAAAACTTTTCATGATTTATTAATAGAGTAACGAATTATGAAAATTTATTTTTATTTTTTAAAAATAACTATATTAAATTTGTACATTTAAATTTTTTTATATTTATTATTTAAATAAATTTTTATGAATTGATACATTTAAAATCACTAATTATAAAAAGAATACTTCAAAATCTATTTATACTTTACCATTATTACAAAAATTTATAATAAATAAAAATTTTTAAAAAGATATAAACAATATGCGCAAAGCACAGCTTATAGTCTAGTATATAAATAAAATATAAAAGAAGTAGTAATTTTTTTTTTTGACGAAGATAGAAAAACTTACTTGATAATTTGTTGAGGACATGAAGGGGTACCTTACTGTTTAAAAACCAGATACAAACTTTGATACAAAGGGCTATCCACAGCCAAAATGGATCTGAAAGAGACACGAGGATAAACAGATAAATCTCATATATATAGAGAGAGCTTGCCGACGTAGTTACCAAAAAAAGGGAAAAAGAGTTATAGGATACGTCTTCAATTTTTTTCTTTTTGTATAAAAATGATTTTTTTGTCATATTTTTTTATATAACTTTTACATGTAATTAAATGAGTTGATACATTTAATATCATAAGTTTCATATAAATTAAAAGAATCAGTCATTTTAATGAAAGATCGAATTGTACAAATTAAAAGATAAGATAAAAAAAATTATACAAAAATCATTTCATTTTTTTTTTTTATCAATTCATCTTTTTCTGTGTACGTATAATACAAGTGAGTATTGAGGCTGAGCGGATGGCAACGGCTCCTTTCCCCTCTGCATCTCATCCTCGTTGGGTATGAAAACTTTTGTGAGGATTTTTGGTGAGGGATAAAAAACACTTTCTGTCTTCATTTTTGCAAGAGATGATAGGTTTTTGAATTTCTTGTTAAATATTAAAATATATTGTAAAATTTAATTTTAACTATTTTAATAAATAAATTTTATAATATTACATAAAAAATAATTTATAAAATATAAAAATAAAAACTTATAGAAGTAAAAAATACGTAAAAAGTTTCACAAATATCATAAAAAAATACTACTTAAAGAAAAAAAAAGAGAATAAAAATTTAAAATAAACAAATGCATAAAAGCCAACAAATTTATAAAAAACTGCATAAAGAGAATAAAAATTTAAAACAAATTGAGTTTTTTTTTTATAAATATATTATAATTTATAAAAATATAAATTTAAGTTGAATTGAGTAAAAATTGATTACGTTTTATGTTTTTATAATTATATTATAATTTATAAAAATATAAATTATATATATTTTCATTATTTATATGAATCATTGTGAGGACTTGTAAAAGGAAGAAAATATTTTTATAAAATTTTATGAAAAAAATTATCTCTATTTTTTCAAAAAAAAATATTTTATAAATCTCTATTCCCATAATAAAGATACTCACGATCGAAACTCTACATGTTTCAACACAAATTGCCATCCTAGGGCAGATCTTATAAACCCCTCCATGTTGTCGATCCCACTAGGTCGTTCTATATTAACATGGGTGGTTTCAAGAATGCTACGTCGATATTTCAGTGACTAAATATGCAATTTAAACTAAAACTTCAGAGTTTTGAATCTTTAATAATCAATTTCAAATTTCCTTTCCCAAACCATGCTTGGTTCTTCTACGTTGAGAGAACTCCTACCAACCACTTTTCGAAAAAAATGGTTATTGCCAAAAAAAAGTTTGTTAAACTTATTAATTTTAATTATAATTTTATTAATTTATAATTTTTTAAATAATTGGTAAATTTTAAAGGTTAATTTAGTATACAAATCAATATTATACTTTTTTAATTTATTTTTAGTAGATTTAATTTTTTTTATTTAATAAAATAAAAATATAATAATTTATTGATAAAATTTCATATTTATCCTTTAAGTTTTATTTAAATAAAACTTTTTATTTAACATATGTTGTATCTTTTTAAAATAAAAGTAAAATAAAAATAAATGTATTAGATGATATCTAAAAATAAATAATTAAATTTAAACATTTCAAATAAAATTTTAAATTTATTAAAAATAAATGAAAGAGGTAAAAAAAAAAAGTAAATTTGATATTTTTAATAAA